CCCAGCGGGACCAGCTACCACCCCCCCTCCCGGCAGAAATGTGAGCGAGCATCAATGATGGTGGCTGGAAGCCACAGTTTTGGGGGTGGTTAGTTGCGCAGCAACGGCTGACTGTTACAAGGGCCCACGCGTGCTAAGGTCTGCGAGAAGCATAACATTCTCCCTGTGACAAGTGCAGGGCAGGGTAAATGGGACGGGGTGCAGTGGGAGTCAATGATCAGGTCAGGTAGAGCGGGGGCGGGAGCAGGGGGAGGAGCCGGTGGTGGCAGCAGGAAGCACAGCCGGGATGGAAATCCAGGCGGAGAGGTTGTGGGGCGATGCTCCTAGGCCCAAGGAGGGGGTGAGGGGGTGGGAGGTGGTGTGGAGCTCGGAGGAAAGCAGCAGAGCCAGGAGAGGGGGGACAGGGCGCCACGCGGGGCTGGCTGGTGGGGCAGCGGGAGCCAGACCACCTAGAGCCTGGGGGGATGGTGCGAATCCTGGACTCTGCTGAGTGGGGGCCATGGACCGTATTCATCTTGCAAAGAACACTTTCTCCACTGCGTGGGAAACGGATCGGAGGAGCCGGGAGTGCCAGCAGGGAGGCGGGTGAGGGGGCCGTGGCGGCCATCCGGGGGACAGGTGCCTCACTCCCCGAGGGCGGCTTTAAACATCAGAAAACGTATTCTCTCACCATTCTGGGGGCTGGAAGTCCAAGATCGGGCTGTCAGCAGGGCCGCGCTCCCTCTGAAAGCTCTGGGAGAGAATCCTTCCTTGCCTCGGGTGGCTTGTAGTGCTTGCTGGTGATCCTCGGCTTGTAAATACCTCCCTCCAATCCCTGCCGTCACGTCACATTCTCCTCTGTGTCCACACTCCCTCTTCTCATAAGGACACGTGCCATTGGATTAGGTCCCACCCTGGCCCAGCATGACCTCATCTCAACTTGATGACATTATGGACCTATTTCCATTTAACGTCATATTCACAGGTTGTGGGTGGTCAAGGATTTTGGGGGGCAAGCTCTTCAACCCCAGTACACATGGCATGGGATGGGTGTGTAAGGCAGGTGACAAGGAGTAGACGGTGTGGGGAGTTCCTTGGGGGTGGGGGGCGTCAAATGAATGGAACATGGAGCTGGGTCTCCTGCTGGCCATCTGGCACCTCACTCTTCTCTCGGTCACTCTGCTGACCCTCCACCTGGCCACAGAGCCACCCCTCGTAGGTGCTGTCCACTCATTTCCTCACCTGGTTTGTCTCCCCTTTGGCTGTTGTTCTGTGCCCAACCCCCTCCACAGGCTGATAAGGTGGCACTTACTCTACTCTCTGCCACTTGGCGCTCCTGGTGCCTTGGGTTCCCGGGGTGTCATCCAGCCAGAGCCAACATACAGCTGGGGCTTTGAGTCTCTCCAGATTCAAGTCCTGGTCCTGCCACTTTCTGGCCAGGCGACTCTGGGTGATCTGCTTCGCCACTTTGTATCCCAGCTTTCCATTTGTAAAATGTAGACAATCATAGTTCCTACCTCGTAGGAGGGTCACACGAGATGGTACGTGTAAAGAGCAGAGCACAGTACCCGGCATATTATAAGCAGTCAACAAATGTTAGCTTTAAAAAATATATATATGTATGTATGTATCTGTGACTGTCGTCTGGGTTTGGATGCCTTAATTCTGCCTTCTTCCCACCTGATATCCCCTAGAGAGAACAATTCAGGGCATCCCTGATGAGGAAGTAGTCCTGCCAGCTAGAGCTGGTATCACCATCCGCAGCCAGAATGTGCCAGGCTGTCTGTAGAGGGATGGCAAAGCCAATGTTCCAAGGTCTTGGAGATGCTGTCCCAGGAGTGACGATGGGAGCTGGTCCATCCTCACTCTCCAGACTGCTCTCTGTGGGATCAATGCTAACTTCACAGGCTCCTGGCACAGAGGAGCCTGTGGCTCCTTCCTGGTAAGAGCTTGTTGAGGGAGTGAGGCAGCTGACCCCCTGGCTGGGGCTGGGGAACCCTGAGAAAGGCTGGGCCCGTCAGTCTGGGCTCATTTTCAGGGTGTCTACCAAACACAGCAAGTCTTGCTGTGGGCGACGGGAAGGAAAAACGTGTCCCAGACTACTGGGGGTCTCTGATCTGTCATTCTGGGAACAGAAGGATGACCTTTTAGAATCTTTATGTAGAGTCTGAACCAAGTCTGAACTGAGGCCACCGAATACAGATCTCTGTCTAAAGAAAAATAGACCATGGAGCAAACTTACATAAAATGATGATTTATTATCACCTGTTACTATCTGAAATGATCTCTCTTACTGTTTTTATTGTCTGACTCTCCCACTTAAATTGAAGTTCTCTAAGGTCAGGAACCTGGTCTATTTTGTTTACTCTTCTTTCTCTTGTGTGCAGAGTACTGCTATTCAATATTTATTTGTTCAACGCCTCACTATTTAATTTTTTAAAATAGCGAATGATTAAATGAACAAATACTTGGAGGGTCACTTCCCTTCTATTATGGGGTTTTATTGTAACACTAAAGATGTCATCCCAAGGGGACAAAACCCACCGAAGGACTCTGGTAAAGAGTTAAGGCAGGTACCAAGACCACAGCCTGCTCATTTTTAATTCACTGGAGGTGTTTTTGAAGAACTTTGCAATAATTAGTGCCATGAGCCTAAAATCATCTCTTCTCAAGGTCACAGGAAGTCTCCTGAAGCTTGGTTATCACCTAGCGTCTCATTTAAAGCTCCCAAACTCTGCCCGGCATTTTCCCTTTATTCTCTTGATGAATGTCTGATAGAGCTGCACTGCAATACTGTAACTCACCAGCAGGTGTCACTGTCTAACAGTACATGCCTCTGTGTGAAACCCAAAGCCAGTTAAGGCTGAGAGTCTAGGAAATGAATCAATGTACTAATTCATGAAAGCTGTAAGATAAAAGTTCTGTAAGATAAGGTCCACTCTATTTCAATTTCATGAGATAAGTATATCTTATGTTAGGGATGCAGAATGGGCCTACATTTTATTCATATGCTTCAGTGTTCTTTCTGTTCTGGTGAATCTTGCCAACCTTTCGTGTGTGGATCCCATGCTTTTCCCGGAGTTTGTTATTGCTTTTTTTTTGTCACTAATAATATCTAAAATGTGTCTATTTTCTGAAATTCCTCAAAAACCTCTGATTTCCTTCTAACACATTGCCCCTCATGTGTTGCACTCAGTATTTGTCGATGATTTGCCCCTCCCCACCCCCACCAAATCATGGGAAACAAACACATAGAGCTGTTCTACCGATGGAGAAATGGAGTCTCAGAAAGGTCAAGTAATTTGTTCAAGGTCATACAGGCAGTGAATGGCAGAGCTGGGGTTTTTCTAATTCTAAATCCCTTGTCCATTCATTCCAGGGAGCAAAAGGGACCCAGAGAAGGTGGGTGCCCCAGGAGACAAGAGCTTGTGAGGACAGCAGATTCCGTTCTAAGGCTGAAAAGGTGTCCAAGGTCTCCCCGGACAGATTTTCCATCGTCAGAAAAAAACAGCTGATATTAATTTGCTATCTAGTCATTTCTTCCCGTCATTTTCCTGAGGCAGATTACAGAAGGGAACAAATTGTATGTGCAGATATCAGTGATGAAATGTGGGGGTTGGGGGCGGTAGGGGAGTGGAGTCAGGAGGTGGCATGACCAGGCCCAGAGCCGCCCCCCTCCCTGCTCACCCCAGTGGAGCACAGATGGGTTAAGACTGGAGTCAGTCCTCAAATTCCTGGATGTCTATCAGCTGATGTCACAATATTGCAAGATTTTGTATCTTTTTAGCAAACTGTAGTATCAGCACTGATAGGCTGAGCACACACCCCTTTCTCACAATCTGGTATCCACGACTGCTCCGCAGTGCTCCATGTGGCACCGGGTCACTGCTGGATGGCCAGCTTTCCAGCGTGGTCCTGCCCACCTGCCCAGGGTCCTGGAGGAGAGGAAGGAAGGCTTACTCCCCAGAGGTTACTTTGGGAAATTTAGGTCAGCAGGATCTAATTACCCGACTGGCTCAGAGCTGAGATTTCAAGATTAATGCCGAAGGAGGGTGGAGTAGGGGTGCTGAGGGCTCCTAATTGGGGACCATCTATTTTGGGGCCCACACATCAAAGGTAAGGCCTCTGGCCCCAAATGAACAGATCTCACCACTTGAATTACACACTGTCTGCCCCAGTCTGCCCCAAAGGTCTTTTCCAGAACAAGAGGCGGAGCCTGGAGGACTTCCACTCAGGATGCTGCAGCAAGAGCCCCAAGAGAGAACAGTGGCTGGCGAGGGGTGCATACGCCCTGCATAACACACCCTGCTTCCTCCTCCAGGGGACAGACCCAAGCACAGAAGTGCTGTACTTTGCAAGAATTAGACCACTCCCAGGTGTACCAGTAACTCGGAAAGACCCCCTCCTTCCTGGAGGTTTTCGCATGGTCCCAAAGGCTATTACATCCTGGGACAACTAACATTCTCACACTGCAAAGTGTTAAAAGGGGGTCCCTTGCTCTCTTTACATTCCAAGGGCCCTGGGTTGCTGACAATGGCCGCGCGCCCCAGTGGTCTGGGTTCCCTCTGCCCGAGGCAGCCAGTCGGGGCTTAGTAATTTTTTTAAAACAAAAAAAAGGGGTGCCTGGGTGGCTCCTTCGTTTAAGCGCCCTACTCTTGATCTCAGCTCAGGTCAAGACCTCACAGTTGGTGAGTTCGAGCCCCGAGCCGGGCTCAGAGCTGACAGCAAAGAGCCTGCTTGGGGTTCTCTCTCTCTGTCTCTCCCCCACTCCCACTTTCTCCTTCTCTCAAAATAAACCGACTTTAAAACAAAACAAAACTGATCTTCAGCACAGTGAGGCGTGAAGACGTCACACTCTGGGAGCTTTAAGAGTCCAGCTCTTTCTCAGTAGTAAAGGTGGAGCAACAGCGGTCCCGTTCTAGAACGTTCTAGAGCGGTACGCAAAGATGAAATAACTAGGGAACCACACTGTTACAGCTCCAACCACGCTAATTCTCCACCCACTTCAATGGACACCGCACACAGCAAAGGGTGGAGGAAAGCAGGGAGAGGTTACTCTTGAGACACTAATTTCTTTAGAACGTTCCCGGTTCTAGGGCTCAGAAGGCAAATTCCTTGGATGAGCCAAGGGCCGCAAGACTCTGTAAGAAGTCTCCTCGGGGTGGAGGACCTACCACCAGGCTGTCGCTCGCGCATTCATTCGACAACACTCCCGGAGCGCCGCCTGCTGTATGCCCTGAGCCAACGCGCCCGCGCCCGCGAGGTCTGGGGGTCCAGGGAGCCCCATCCCTGGGGGCACCGACCCTCCGTCCTCCTCTCCGGTGCCTTCGAATTACGGAACTTGAAGCTGCTGGGAATTTCAGATGAGGCAAGCAAGGCCTTGCTCCCAAGGTTAGTGCAACAACCCCCACCCTCCCGAGAGATTTAAAAAATTATTATTAGTAAGCACCCCCCCTCCCCCCGCTCCCCTTAGCCGCGGCCCGCGGGGTGTTGCAACCCCGGCCTCTCGCCCAGCGAAGGCGCTGCCCGGCGCTTCCCGAAGACGCCTCCGGAGGGACGGAAGCTCCGGTGCCGCCCCGCACGCGCCCCGACGGCCTCCGGATGGGGCAGGGGTGCGGGCGGAGGCGGGGGCGGCAGAGGGGGCGCGCGGCACCGGGGGCGCCCCCGCCGCCCAGCGCCCGGCGCGCGGGAGCGGGAGCGGGAGCGGGAGCCGGAGCCGGGGCGGGAGCCGAGGGGCGGGGCGGGGCGGGGCGGGGCGGGCCAGCCAGCCCCGCCCCCCCGGCGCGCGGGCCCCCCCCCTGCACTTTAAAGCCCTCGCCTGCTTTTTCTTTGCACCGAAGTCGCGCTCGGGCTGCCCGCGCGCTCGCAGCAGGAACCAGGCTCCAGGCGCTGGCGCCGGGGCCGCGGGAGGAGGCGACTTCGCTCCGTGCGGCGGGCGCGGCCCGGGGCGCCCCGGCCTCCTCGGCCCCGGAGAGCGGCGGCGGCGGCGGCGGCCCTCCCTGGCGCGGTAGGCAGAGCCGGCACGGGCACCGGGTGGGTGGGGGGTCCGGGCGGGGAGGGCGCGGGGATCGCGGCACTCGGGGACCGAGTGGTGGGCGCGGGGCTGGGCGCGGGAGACCTGGTGGCGGATGAGGGTCCCGCGGGGAACCCTCCTCTCGCCGCAGGTCCCGGGCGAGGGGTCCAGGGCGCCGCCCAGCGCCGCCGCCGCTGAGGACGCCTGCGGGTCGCGGCGGCCGGGGGATCTCACCTGCGGGGGCGAGACCGGGCGGGGGTCCCCGGCGGCCGCGGCCACCGTCGCGCCCGGGGTCGAGCCTCAGCTACTGCATACCCGGGGAGGGGACCCGGGACGCGCAGCGGCCCCCGCAGACTTCCAGGTGCAGGAGGGGCCCCGGGGGCCTCCGTTGCCGCGACTGTCCCCGCGGCGGAGGCAGGGGTGCTGACCTGCCCCTCCCACACGGGGGCAGCGCGACCCCGCTCCGCGAAGTTAGTTTCGCTTTTCCCGCCAGTCGGGACCCGAATCTGCAGCGCAGCCCTACTGGCCCCCTCGGGGCTCCCCCGCCCTGCCCTCCGCGCCTTCCCCGGGGAGCCCGCCGGGCGACACCCCGGACGGCGCCGCCCTCTCCGCCCTCCCGAAGCCGCCGCAGCTTCTCCCGGCAACCGAGGGGGAGCCGAGTGTTGTGTCAGCAAATCGATTAGAACAGAAAAACCAGAGCGGCCTGGGTGGGTCGGAGGAGCCGAGGAATGCGTCAACCCGCGCGCGCCCGGGGTGTGTGCGGACTTGGTAGTTGTCCTGGTCAAGTTCAAGGCAAAGGTCCCCGGAATTTTAACTGGCCCCTGGCGCGGTGGCTCGCCCTGATGGGAGGCTACAAGTGTGTGTGTGAGTGAGTGTGGTGCGTGTCTGTGTGTGAGAGGTCTGTGTGTCTCTGAGCCTGGCTGTGTGGGTGTGTCTGAGGGTGTGTCAGGGTGAGAAGTGTGTGTCTGGCCTGTGTTTCTGTGTCTTTGTGTGTCTGAATGTTTCTGTATGACTGCGGGTGAGTTTGTGCCTGTGTCTCTGCATGTGTGCCTGGGGGGAGTGTGTGTGAGCGTGTCTGTGTGGGGTGAGTGTGCGTCTCGGCGAGTGAGTGTGTGCCTGCCCTCCGTGGTAACCTGGCTGTGGGGCTGCTGCTTACCCAGAGCTCGTTGCTTGACTTCCCTTGCTTGGGCTGTGCGGGGACCGGACGCAGGGACACCCTCCGGTGGTGTCAGCCAAGGAGGACCCGGGCTCCTTCTTCTCTCTCCCTCTCTCTTTTTCTTTGAAAATGAACTGCACGGTAAGGGGGGTGAGTTGGCAGGGGCTGCTTCCTGAGTGAGTAATATTTAATTAAACACTCCAGCCGGTAGCATCAGAAACTGGTCATGAGCTGAGTTTTAACAGGTGGCGATGGTAAAACAAGACAAAACAAAACAAAACGCCATCCCTGGTGACTCCAGTTTGGTGTCTTTGGTAGAATTCTCTCCTGGGGTAGGACAGCTCGGGGAGGGGGACCGGAATGTCATCCCTGGTTGTTGAGGACAGCAAGCAAGGAAAGCCGGGGGAGGGGGGGGAAGGCTGCTCCCTTCTCTGCCCCATCCCTTTCTGATACTCCCCCTCTGGGTTGTGGAAAGCGCTAGGTTAAGCATAAGGGGTGTAGACAGGCATCCCCCCACCTCCACCCTGCTAAGGAATCCTGGAGCTGAGGAAGCCCCATCTTACTTACAGGGCACCTACGTAGACATCTCTGTAGGCCTTTCCCTTCCCGGCAGAGGCCCAGAGAGGGTGGCTGGCTTACGAAAACTGCAGACCCAGGGCCGCGGACAGTCTCCAGAGCCCTGGCTGTGGCTGTGGGTTTCAGCCTCCGGTGCTGAGGTCACGGCCGGGCACCTCACGGCTGCCCAGCTGTCAGGTGATGGGGTGGATTAGATAATTTTAACCACTTCTTATTCTCTTACTGCTTTTTCTTCTGCAGGGAGGGTTTTATCCAGTAAAGAGGGAGAGGGAAAGAAAGAGAGAGAGGGAGAGAGAGAGAGAGAGTGTGTGTGTTTGCAAATGGGGAGGTGTGGAGTGGCCTAATGTAATAACTTTACAAATCCTTTTCCTTCCCAGCCTGGCTACCACCGGGGAAGCAAACAGAATGAAGGCAGTGGTCCAAGGCCCACAGTGGTTCTGACGCTCGTGAGCAGGGGCAGATCTGGCTTCAGGGAGGTCGGGGCTACGGGGAGACTGTGGGTTCGGGGTTGCAGGGCTCCTAGGAAGGAGTGGTCCAGCCGGGGGCCCTGGGTGACGTCACTTTGTTGCTGGCTGAGGCTGCCTTCCTTGGGCTGCTCCAGCAAGGCTAAAACCACCGTTGAGCGGGCTCCTGCGGCTGCCATCTAAAACCCTGCGGGCCTCTGGGCAGTCGGTGTAGATGTTTAATTTCTCCACTGGAGCCTGGGAACGGGCCGGGGGTCCAGCTGGCCGAGGCCAGTGCTGTCCCTGCTCACTAAGGGCGATGGAGTCTGTGCTCTCCTCGCCGCGCCCGGTCCCCTTCCTGGACCTTCCCCCTCCTCGGGTGGGCAGAGACTTGCCCGTCGATGCATTGGCACATTTAGCAAAAACCCCTGACTCTACAGTGTTCAGAGTTTTGTCCTGGAATTTCACACCAGTTCTTTTCAAGAAATAGGTCGTGGCCCGTGTGCCTCATCGGTTCATTTTCGGGTTCCTGAAAAGCTGGAGAAAAGGATCCTTATCAGACCAAAGCACCGGGCGGGGGTAGGTGCACATCTCTCCGCCCAAGGACGCATAACCCTGTCCCTCCCACACAAGCCTGACGGATGAAATCCAGACTTAAACGCACTTTTGTTTTGGACTTTCAACCTGATGCTTTCCCTTTTCCCAGTTATCTGATAGAGAGCGAAAGTCTAATCTAAGAGTGAAAGTCTAGCCCAGAGGCAGGTGCCGGGCGCGTGCTGCTAAGTGCATTACAGGCAGGATGTTATTGGAGATGGTGGTGATGATGCTGGTGATGATGACGATGATGGTAGTGGTAGGAAAATGGTTTTATAGAACGTGCTAGGACCAGGCTCTGATCTGAGTCCTTAACACATTAACCCTGTGCTTTTCCTAGGAACCCAGGGCAGTGAGCTGGGTTTCCTGGGGTCGGGACGGCCACATGACTTGGCCAAAGTCTTGCTGCTACCAGGTGGTGAGAGTAAAACTCTAACCCTAATTTTGGTGCATAAGCTCTTACTCAACACAGTATGCTACCTCCATCACCTTAGCCTTTTCTCCAAGAAGCAGGCGCTATTTTGTTCCTAATGAAAACTTTTTATTACCATGGAAAATTTCCAACATATACCAAAGTTGGGAGAAGAGTCTAAGGTGCCCTCACCGGCTTCACGTGTCAGCACATACACACGTCCCCACTCACACACGTGTGTGCCCATCCACACGCATGTCTACGTACACGTGTGCACACTCAGGCTGGACTGTTCTGAAGCAACTCTCGGGTCGTCTGTGAGTCGTTTTGAAGCATTTAAGGGGAAATAAATATCAAGTCTCAAAGAGGTAGAGTGGGACCCTACTGGGGGCAGGTTGGGGTAAGCGTATTCTTCCCAACTTGGACTTGAGGGTCCCTCCTGGCTGTGGCAAGGTGAAGACAGCTCACTGGGGCATCTGTCTTCTTGCCTCCCACCCCCAGAGTTCTGGGGAGCCACTTGCTTGTTTTGTGTTTTAAAAATCCTGTTCATTGCTCAACATGACAAATGGATGAATCCGTTGGTCATGTGACAAACCCCATCAGCTCCCATGGGGCTCTCTTGGAGATGGGGGAGGGGAACTGGAAAGACTCAACCCTGCTTTGCCCCCCATTGGAGGCTGGGCCTTGCGCAGGCAAGGACGTTCGAGATAGCGCCTGGGCCGCAGGGGACGTAGAAGTCGGTTGTCAACAAACATGGCGCCCGGCCCATGCTTAAACCCAAGCTTAACCACCTTGAATTCGCTCTGCGGGTGACGGACAGATGGAGGTGTGTGGGGGCACCTGCCATCCTCCGGGTGCCTCTGGGAAAATGAGGGAGGCGCTGGGTGATTTGGGCCCAAGACTCAGGGGCATGTGGGACGGAAACGCCACGCGGAGGAGGAACCCGTCTCTACCTGGTGTCAAGCTCCTGACAGCTGCCCCAGCTGTGGACAGCCCTTGCCAGACAGGCTGCTGGTAGTCGCCCAGCTGTGGCTCTTTGGGGACCTGTGTTTCCTGGTATTGCGCTGCATCTGTTTCCTGCTGGTTGGGACGGAGGCTGGTGACGTTTTCAAGCTGGAACCCACAGGTTTGGGAACTGGACATGCAGATGTTTGGGGGGCGTCCCAGTGGGTGGTGACCCTCTAGAGAGGGCTGGGGGCCAAGGGCATGCATGGGAGGTGCCTTGAACCCGTCCCAGGTAGAAAGGGTCCATGGATGTGTCCGGATGGCGGCTAGACCTAGGACTCTTGCAAGAGGCCTGGGCGGGAGTGGAAACATTGGAACCTTCTCTCCAAGGGGTTCATAGAGGAGCATCTGGTATGAGATGCGACATGCTCATGGGTAGAATCCTCATTCTGGCTTTTTCTTCTAGAACCAGGGGAGAGATTTACACCAGTGTCCTCAGGCCTTAGTGCTCCTGCCCAGGCATGCTTGTTCTGGAGGGTTCCCCTCTGACAGCAAGGGGGGACCTCTGGGGGGCTCAGGGGGTTAAGCGTCTGACTCTTGATTTCGGCTCAGGTCTCGATCTCATGGTTTGTGGGTTCGAGCCCTGTGTCGGGTTCCTCGCTGGGCTTGGCGTCAGCTTCAGGTTCTCCCTCCCTCTCTCTGCCCCTCCCCCATTCTCGCTCTCTCCGCCTCTCTCTCTAAATGAATACATAGTTTAAAAAAAGAGCGTCTCAAACTCTGTCCCCATTGTACACAAACCCCCCATTGCCCTCCCCCAGCCCCTGGCTCCCTCAGTTCTGCCTCTGTCTCTGCGGGTTTGACTCCCTCAGTTAGGGGGGCTCCTGTGGACCATCCTTCCCCGACCGGCTTGTCTCACTCAGCGTGATGTTCTCAGGGTCGTCTGTGTCGTAGCCCGTGTCAGAAGGTCCTTGCTTTTCAAAGCTGAAGAGCACCCCCGTGTATGGGCCTCCTACATTGTGCTTATCCATTCAGCGGGGTGTGAACACCTGATCTCTTTATTGCGCTCCCTGAGAGTACAGCCTCCAGGAAGGGGCCTTGTCATGGACGTTTAGGGTGCTGGGGGGTAGTGCGGGTAAAGAGGGGGCACAGAGCCAGACGAGGGGCTCGAACCCACAGACCATGAGATCGTGACCTGGCCTGAGATCAAGAGACTGATGCTTAACCCAGGCGCCCCTCACTTGTAAAACCTGAGTTCCACGCGTGTCCGTCCCCCCGGGCCCCCTGCTCACGTGGTGATCCTGTGGCGGGCAGCCTGCCTCCGCCTTCCACCCAGGGACCCAGCCAGACACACGTTCACCGTTTCGAGGCACCACGGGCAGCTGGACGACCTGGGGCAGGGGTGGGGTGGGCAGGGCCAGGCCACGGGAGTCTCGCTCATCGCTCCGTGCCCAGTGCTCGGCGCACACAGCAGGCTCCTGCTAGGTGCCTGTGGGATGGGTGAGCGCAGACAGCTGTCCCTCAGAGCCTCGGCCGCCCTGACTTTGTGGTGTGACGGCCACTTCATGGGGTGGCTGTGAGGTGTGGGGGAGGCGACCCGCCTCAGCACTGACCACAATGCACAGTCCCGACGTCCTGAGGGGCTGGTGGCTTCACTCCCCACGGACCCGCCCGTCATCACCCGCCCCGACTGCCCAGAATGTCCCCCATGACCTTGTGGGAGGCCCAGGAGTCCACAACAAGCCTCCTGAGCTATTTTGGACTGTTTGTCATTCATTCTTTCAGTCAAACATTTATTGAGCCCTTTACATATGCAGCTGATGTCTCGGACAGATGGGGCGTCTCACTCTCAGAGACTGAGCTGTCTAGTGGGGGAGACCCGCCCGTCTCCCACGATGACCCTCCCCGGGTGTAGCGGAGAGGCTGAGAGTGGGGGGGGAGGGAGGTGGCCATCCCCGGCAGAAGGACGGCAGCAGCGGCTGGCCTGTGGCTCGGGTAGGGCTGAGTGAGGGCGAGAGGCCGGAGGACGCCGGGAGGGGGTCTGTGGGGAGAGGGGCCCGGGCCCGGGATGCCCCTCGAGGGTGAGCTCCGACTCGGGCTCCGCAAGGCAGAGGCTGAGGGCCTCTGGGGCGACGCCTCGTCTGGGTCTCTCGTCTTTACCGCCTCGGCCTTGGGTCCCTGGAGCGAGACGGCCTTCTCGGGGTGGACGCTGCCTCCTACGGCACTTTGTCTAGCGCGAGTTCACTATAAATAGCCGGGTTTCGACCACGAAGAGCATCTGGGCACAGCAGAGCTGGTGGGGTGGGGGGGGAGCGGGAGGAACTCATTTTCCTGCAAGATGCCCCTCACCCTCCAGCCCAGGGACGGAGGTGGAGATGGATGGAGCGCGGGGACCTCGGGTCGGCAGGTGGGCTGGGCTCGGCCACACTGGAAAGCCCAGCGGGACGCATTGGACGTACCGGAGGAAGGCGAGCCCGCATGGAGGGCAGGTGGAGAAGAGGCAGTGTTAAAGGGCTGGTCTCAGAAATTCAGGCCCGGTGCTGGGCTTGGGGCCCCGTAACAACGGTGACCAGCTGGAGGCTGGCGGGTCCCGGTGGCTTCCCGGTGCTCCGTGGGCATGAAGTCAGTCCTCACGTTGTCAGTGAGGCCCGTAGGGCGGTGCAGCCCCATTTTACAGACGAGAAGACAGACCTTCAGGGCCACGGGCCCTAAGGGGAGGAGCTGGGAGCCCAGGCCTGCAGCCTGGCCCCCCGGTCTACACCTTTATCCACCAAGCTCTGCCAGGAAGAGGGGAGCCTTGGTCTGTCTCTCTGTGTATCTGCTATTCTGGACGTTTCCTATAAATGGAATCATCCACTCCAGGCCCTTTTGTGTCTGGCTCCCGGCTAATTACGTTTGGCGTGGAAGGTTGCTGTGTTTCCTGAATGGAAGCCGCATTTCCCGTCCTGGCTCACTTGGGGGCCGCTTGAAGGTGGAGACAGTCCTGTCCAGGCGGCTCATCTCAAACATTCACCGAGAACTCTGAGCCCCTGCCTTTCTGCGCATCCGTCCACCCAAGACCCAGCCACCGGCCTCCCGCCACCAGCCGCCACGTTCAATGTGTTAAACCTGGTTCCGGCCATCTTTTTAAAATGAACACCTGATGGGGCGCCTGGGTGGCTTAGTCGGTTAAGCGGCCGACTTTCGCTTAGGTCATGATCTCACGGTTCGTGGGTTCGAGCCCCGCGTCGGGCTCTGTGCTGACTGCCAGCTCAGAGCCTGGAGCCTGTTTCAGAGTCTGTGACTCCCTCTCTCTCTGACCCTCCCCTGCTCACATTGTCTCTCTCTCCTAGAAATAAATAAAACATTAAAAAAAAAAATGAACACCTGACAACGTCCATTCCCTTCTCGAAGCTCTTGGGGGAAGTTCCCAGATCCAGGACGTGACCTTCAGGGCGTGGCCTGGCCTCAAGCTTACTTTGTGCAGCCAGTCCCCACCTCCAGCAGCGATGCTACATGCGTCCCCAGGTGGCGGGGGTGGGGGGGTTGAGGCTGGGGGAGCCAGTAGCTCACGGAGCTATTTCTCCCCCAGGCCACCCGGGGCTGGCCGCTGTTCCCAGCATCTATCGCTGACAATGTCATTTGGTGCCACTTCAGCTCGAGCTGGTCACGCTCCCTCCTTCCCTACCAGTGCCGGCTGAGACCTGACCGTCAGGCCCCAAGGGGGCGGACTGTC